CCAAGTAAGCACAGAGACTTATATTGGTTACAAACTGTATGGCCGTGGCAGGCTTTTTGCTAACTGTTCTTATAGCTTAAATTAATCCATTTCCATAAATCTATACCTTTCCACATGGCTCGTGGCTTACCGGGATCTTCACATGCGGCTTGTCATGGTGGCGGCTGGCAGTGTCTCCCTCACCCAGCTTTCCTGTTCTCTCAATTCTCCTCTCTGTTAGTCCCGCCTATACTTCCTGCCTGGCCACTGACCAATCAGTGATTTATTCATTGACCAATCAGCAACACATTTGACATACAGACCATCCCACAGCACAGGAACAAGAACAATACACCTTATAAGTTAGTGCGAGACCAAGACAGGAAAACGTACCTTGCAGGTGAAGGGTTCTGCTTGCAGTTAAGACAGTTAAAAATAATTTCCTGTTTGTCCTGTGTTTGTTTGACCTAACTGCACCAGATGTGCTTGATCACATGTGGAGAGGAGGTATATGGGCAGGAAGTATGTCAGGATGTATGATGACCCCTGATTGGATCTGATGGGAAATGCAGTGAATCATGGATTTTGCCTTTTTAAGCCTCTTAAAAACGTGATTCAGGACCATTTTTCTGGGAACCCAGAGATGGACCTAGCCAGAGAGTCCATCCTTCCTGGACAGTATTTAATTAAAGCTTGTCTCAAATTTGATTAAAAATTGTAGTAGTGGCTTTATTCTTGACTGGTGGAATTAACAGTATATGACCTACTAAAATTAAGCCAAGACGAGACCAATAATGTACATAAATCTATAGCAAACAGTGAGTTTAAAACAGTAATTTAATATCTTACAACTAAAAGAAGTCCAGGCCCAGATAGAAACACTTGTAAATGTGTTTCTTCACATTTCTTCACGTTCAAAGAACTATTACCAATACTTCTTAAATAAAAGAAGACAGAAAAATGTAAGAGCCAGAGGATGGTGAGGGGTACTTGGACTACGGTCTTCTGGATATGACATAAATATTGTACTTGTGAACAGGCTACAGCTGTGATGATCTGCCCAAGATCAAGGGAACATTCCAGCATGAAGCATTAATTAAACTCAAAGTTTTGAAAAGGGAGGAGATAAAACGTGAAAGGATACAGGTATATATGCATGAAAGTGTCAAAACTTGAATAAAAGAAATTCTAAAGGGAAAGGAGGAAAGGAAGGTGAGAGAGAGGGAGGGAGGGAAGGAGGGAGTGAGGGAGGGAGAACTGAAGACAGGGAGGATGGGGTGGGGTGGGGGGACAGGGGACTGTGACATGCTATCTTCTGGGCACGACTCAGGTTGCCTCCACTGAGCCTGCACAAAATGAGCCTAGTGTTAGTCAGTCATGGGTGGGAGGGGGTCTCACAGGCCCTAACCCTGCCTGCTGAACCAGTGTCTACTGATAGGTCTAGCAGAGGGCTGCTAGTCATTGTTTTGGGTTGTGTGCCCATGAGGGAGCCCACCAAGCTCCAGTGGATGGTTCCAAACCATGGCCACACAGACAGCTCTAGTTAAACTCAGCGGGTCGAAAAACAAAAAGACATGGATATGAGAAAGAGACTTATATGTAAGCTGGGGGTAGGAGCCTGATGGGAGTGAGAGGAGATAGGAAAGAGAAGGAGTTGGAGTAACCAGAATGCATTATACATATGTATGAAATTACCAAAGAACAAATACAACAAAACTGTAATTTTAAAAATAACTTCTGAAAATGTTTTGAGATTGATTTTACCTGATGTGTATTAGTGTTTTACCTGCATGTATGTATGTGCACTGCCACTGTGTATGTGTCTAGTGCCCATGGAGGTCAGAAGAAGACACTGGAGTCTCCCAAAACTGGAATTACATGTGGCTATGAACCATCATGTAAATGCTGGGAATTAAACCCAGGTCCTTTGCAAGAACAGCTCTCTAGCCACTATCTCCCAAATACATTTCAAAAGTAAAATAAATCATGAAAAAACAACTCATAATATTTTAAGTAAGTTTACAGTTTTGCATTGGATCACATTCATAGCTATCCTTGGCCACATTCAACCCACGGGCTGTAGGTTGGACTTGCCTGTGTGTACACAATTCAGTCACCCAATAACAATAAGATATTTGTTGATGACCTTGTGTTCATACATGAAATCACGTGTAGCCTTGAAATATACGTGAACTTGGGGCTGGAGAAATGACTCAGCAGTTAAGAGCTCTTGTTGCTTTTCCCAAGGATCAGAGTTTGGTTCCCACCATCTGTGTCGGACAGCTCACAACCACTCCAACTCTAGGATGTCAAGACCCTCTCCTGGCCTCCACAAGCACTTGCACACACATAACACATGTGCGTGTGCACGCACACCACAGCACAAATAAAAATAAATCTTACAACAAAAGAAAATGTATGAACTTTACTGATTGAAAGTGAATGAGCTATATGCAACAGTGTGAATTAATCTTCAAAAGCCACTTGATTTAAAGCGCAAAATGTGAAGTGAAACACTCAAACTCCAAACAAGTATGGTAACACGGAAGGACATGTAGGAAAATGATAAACACAGAATTCAGAAAAGTGTCACTGAACGAGATGAGAGACTGGGTGGTACAGGGAGTGGCCACAAGGATAGTCAAAGCAAACTGACTGTCTTTGTAGGGTTTCCATTGCTTCAACAAAACACCATGACCAAAAAGAAATTTGGGGAGGAAAGGGTTTATTCGGCTTCCACTTCCACATTGCTGTTCATCACCAAAAGAAGTCAGGACAGGAACTCAAACAGGGCAGGAACCTGGGGGCAGGAGCTGATGCAGAGGCCATGGAAGGGTGCTGCTTCCTGGCTTGTTCTCCCTGGCTTGCTCAGCCTGCTTTCTTACAGAACCCAGGATCACCAGCCCAGGGACAGCACTACCCACCATGGACTGGGCCCTCCCCCATTGATCACTAATTGAGAAAATGCCTTACAGCTGGACCTCATGGAGGCATTTCCTCAACTGAGGCTCCTTCCTCTCTGATGACTCTAGCTTGTGTCAAGATGACACAAAACCAGCCAGTCTACTCACCTTGTTCGTTTTCTATGGAAGAGGAAGGATACATACAGGATCCTTGTAACTTTCATAGCTTACTTATATTTACCTTGCTTATACTTACACTCTTTTACTCATAGTCAATATTTTCTTTTCATCTCATTTTTTTAAAAACCTACCAGCGTATATAAAGTGGGTAAGGAAGGGTATCTATTCTTAAGTCTGATGACCAGAGTTCAATTCCCAGGACCCACATGTTGAGAAGAGAGAATGAATTCCCAACAGTTATTCTCTGACCTTCACGTGAAGGCACACCACCATGGCACACATGTACTGCCCCATACACACACACACACACACACACACACACACACACACACACACACAGAGTAAAATTTTAAATTAAAAAACACATTTAGAGCCGGGCGGTGGTGGCGCACGCCTTTAATCCCAGCACTCGGGAGGCAGAGGCAGGTGCATCTCTGTGAGTTCGAGGCCAGCCTGGACTACCAAGTGAGTTCCAGAAAAGGCGCAAAGCTACACAGAGAAACCCTGTCTTGAAAAACAAACAAACAAACAAAAAACAACAACAAAAAAACCCACAGCACACATTTAGCCTAATAACTGAAATTTTAAAAAGTAAAATATATATTTTTTTCCCCTACAAGTAAGGAAAATGAGGCCTCCCCAGGTTTAGGTGGTAGTGCTAAGCAAATCCACAGTACACACCTGTGAAAAGTATTTGGCAACAGAAACTCCTCCTAAGGCTGGCTGTGTGGGAGTGGTACAGGATTCGAAGGCAGGAGAGTTAAGGAGAAAGTCCACCCAAGATGTACTTCCTTTTCTTTTTGCCTGATTATACTATTCCTGTTGTTTCAAAATAGAATATGTTGGTTTAAAGCTCTTCAAGATGCACATTTATAAGCAGAAACCTAAGAATTCCTAGGAAATAGCTATACCCAGTGGCTAGTGTGGTGGTTTAAATGTAATTGGCCTCCATAAGCTCACAGGGAGTGGTGCTATTAGGAGGCGTGTCTTTGTTGGAGTAGGTGTGGCCTTCTTAGAGGAAGTGTGTCACTGTGGGGGTGGGCTTTGAGGTCTCATATATGCTCAAGGCTCTCTGTGTCTCAGTTCACTTCCTGTTTCCTTTGGATTAAGAGGTAGAATCCTGAGCTCCTTCTCCAGCACCATCTCTGCCTGCATGCCGCCATGTGCCAGGATGATGAAAATGGACTGAACCTCGGCACTGTAAACCACCCATTTAAATGTCTTCCTTAATAAGAGTTGCCATAGTCATGGTGTCTCTTCACAGCAATAGAAACCCTAACTAAGACAGCTAGAGACTATGAAAGACATCACAAGTCATAGGCATGAAGGAGGGGGCCTTTAGTCTTCCCTGCAGTTGAACAAGTCTGGGTGCATGGCCGAATAGCCAGGCTCAACTCTGGCTCTGTGTGACCTTGGAGATGTCAGTTTCAACTTCCCCTGTCCCTGTCATTTTGTGGATAAAGAAGCCCTCTTACCTCCAAAGCTTGGGACAAAGCTTTGTCACCTCTCAGGTCCTACAGACACCATGAGGTAGGACAGCCCAGTCAACACCTGCCCTCCCCCTTTGAGGTGATAAAGAGTGTGATGGAGAAAAACAACAACAACAACAACAACAACAAATCAAGCAAGCCAGAAGCTTTACCTGCCTGTTAGAAGGGGCTGCCAGCTACCCCCAGCCCAGTTCTGCCAAGGGCTGCAAGATGCTCACCATGCCTTTAAGAGAGTAAAATAACATGGGTTCTGTCTCCGTGAAGGATTTCGCACTGCACGGAAAAGTCAGGCTTGATTAAGCCCGATCCTCAACAGCCTGGCAGAGTCTTCACTATTGAAATGAGGCCAGCAGCCATTCACCTAGACCTCACTCGCCCAGCTGTGATGACATCCTATGTCCACAGTGTGTGATTATGCCTGGGAGGACAGAATGATGAGGTCACTTACAGGATCAGACAGCGGTAAGGTCCCAGGCATCAAACGGGTTTCTTGGGAGTAGCCCCTGACATCCTCAGGACACAGGCTTGCTGTCTTCTTCCATTCCATTTTTTTTGTTGTTGTTCTTAATGGAAAAATCCAGCTTAGAACATGAGGCGTGAGTCTCATCTGAGCGGCCATGCAAAAGCACTGGCCCCCTTGAGCTTCTGCTTTATAGCCCCTAGGAGGAGTTGGGATGAGAATTGAAGCCTTTAAGTCAGGCAGAGATCTAAGCCAAGGTGGGTACTAGAAGCACTCTGTAAATCCCACAGCACCAGGCATCCTCACCCCAAAGACCCTTGCTAGGCCAAGACCACCTTTCACCTTACGTGGATTAGAATGTCACACAGAGTTAGGGCTCTAAAATAAGATGCTATGAGCTTTTCAGGGCTAAGGTAGAAAGTCCAGCCTAGAGCTGGCCACACACGTTCACCCCGACTGGGGGTCTGTCACAGAACTTCTTTTCTTAAAGCTGCCTGGAAGGCAGAAATTAAACAGTGGGTGAAAGCCAGGCCTTGGTGGCTGGGTTGGATCTGGGTCACAACTTGCTCTGTGTCCTCGGGCATGTCACCTTGCCACTGTTTTTTTAACAGGTCTCTCCTTTCCCATCTGAATGACAGGAACATGTAAATCATCTCATAAGAGGACTGGGTGGATAGACTCTCACATTGCCTAGCACTGAAGAGGTCTTCACAAAGTGTTAGCTATTACACTCGGAAACAATAACAAAAGAAGGGACAAGTTTCCACAGAAAGGCAGCCCATGGAGGCCTCCTCGTGAAATTTGCTCAAATGAACTAAAAATGAATGAATGAAGGCCTCTCTTAACAAAGAAGCTATCTAAGGTGCCCATTCTTCAGGGGGGTCAAGAGAACACAGACTTTGGTTCATGCACAGTACTAAGTTCATACAGAAGTCCCAGCAAGGCTTGTCCCAAAAGTCCCTAATGATTGAAACCTCTCACAGAGCCCTGGCTATGGGGACCTGTGGCTACAACACAGGGCTGCAGGTTGTCCAGGGGACTACCGTTCACAGGTCAGCTGCTCATTATCCATGTGCTGAGAAGTTAGTCTAAGCATCCCCTAGCATTTTATGATGTGTGGGACCCCCAAGCTCCAGCTGTAACCATTCACCTTCAACATAATTCAGTATTCCAGCAGAGTTACAAGAGTCCAGTCATTTCAAAATGCCCAACGATCCCCAGCAACTAATGGCCCCCTGCTGTCCTCAGTGTCTTCATAAAGGTTGTCCTTCCAAGCCTTGAGGACTCTCCACTCCAGGAACATCTATAATGGTGTGTGTGGCAAGGATTCTTTCTGTCATCAAATCATCCAAAAGAGTTGAGGAGCAATTAATTGATCTGCCCAGACCCTCTGGAGTGAATATCTCAGCCAGAAGGCATGACCCTGGAATGGGAACACATAAATTCAGTCACCCACAGAAATAATGAGCAAGTTGGACCAGCGGCTCTCATGGGAAGTGCTTGGGAAACAACAGGATTCTTCTAGAGTTTCCTCTACAATGTGCCCATTAAGCCTCGCTCTGCAGGAACACCTCTGTCCCACCTATGAGTATATCTCAAGGAGGTTCCATACCTTCCCTGCTCAATACCAATTCTAAAAGCTCATTATCTTCATTTATTAACCCTTTAAGACAATATCTCACTTTGTAGCCAATATTGGCTTTGAATTCAACATCCTCCTGCCTCGGCCTCCTGAGTACTGGGATACAGCAGGTCTAGGCCGCCACGTCTGGCAATGTTTATACATTTTTACTCAGGAAATGTTCACATATGACCAGAAAGAAAGAATACTCCACCAAACAGATACACTTGTTTTTGCTGGAATATTGAAAGCAAATCCTCTCACAATTTCATAAACAAAAATGTCCTTGATTTTATAGTAAATCCAAGCAGCATAATCTACAACTCCCAAACTTCGTTTCAAATTCCATCAGACCCTCACAACCAGGGCCAGACCCCACAGGGGGCCAGAGAGGCTGACTTTTCTGTCCCTGCTCTCTGCTTCTTTGGGGCTTATGTGATGGGATAGGAGACTGGGAGGCATAGGCTGCAGGTAGCACTTTCCCAGAAGCCCCTGTGCAGATTCTCATTTCCTCTCTACAGGTCTTGCCTAGCTAAGCTGCCCCTAAGGCTGACGAAAAGATGGCGGGGGGGGGGGGGGGGAGGTACTGTCTTGGAGCCTGCAGAAATGGCTCAGCAGTCAAGAGCACTGGTTGCCCTTCCAGATGACCCAGGTCTGATACCCAGCACTTACATGATGGCTAACAACCATCTGTAACTCCAGTTCCAAGGGATCTGATGACTGTCCTTTTCTGACCTCTGTGGCCACTGCACACATGTGGTGCAGAGATATTTATGCAGGGAAAACCCCCTAGACATAAAATAAATCTCTGAAAGAGAAAGAGAGACAGAGACAGAGAGAGATGGTGTCTGGTGAGGCACAGGTGCA